TTTTTTACGCAAGATAGCTACAGCACAGTCGATCAGAATTACTCAGTCGTGAAAATTCACTTTGACTAACGTTGCTTATCTCCCTTAGCATATGACGTCAGAAAGGCCCAGCTGCTGTTCAAAGCAATGCAATGTTTACAAACTATCATGTCATTTTGCAGCTTAATTTTAAAGAATATCATAATCATGGCTAAAACCTTGTGTAAATATACGATCTTCAAACAGGCTAGTATTCCTTTTTAAAAATTCCATTGCATATTTGCAAGATGTTTGCATGTTTTATCAGTCAAAATGTGATCATTTTCATCGTTTTACACTTCGATCTATTGAGAGAAAAATAAAGCGACCGGAAGAGAGAAAGAAGGGAGAGTGAGAATGAATTCATTTTTCATAACCAATGAAATCATTTATTTACAACCTAGTTTTACTTTCACACAGAATCCAACACATACTGTCAGTATGACACTTTTCTTGACAAACGATAGGTACCTGCTGTGTAATATCACATGGCTTTAAAAAAAACAAAAAAAAAATTTCTTGTGTTACTGTTTTATACAATTTTATCAATTCTTATCATTTGACACTGTCTTTATATTCACTTACTCATGTACAACATCACCACCAATACCCGATCTCTGGCGCCCCCCCCCCCCCCCTTCCCCTTTATTATTTCTTTCTTTTAGTAATTGAAAGTTCTTAATCGTGTCGTTTTTAAACACACTGCAGATGGGTTAAAAACAACTCTGGCAAGAACTATACGTAAACTTGTATTTATATGCGAGTTAGTACAAACGCCGTTTAAACATGTAGACCTACATGTATGTATTAAAAAAAGGCAGCTCTAACATTGTGGAAATATTTCTATGAAGACTCTACCAAATGTAGATATTATAATAATAATTCTTTATTGCATAATACACCCATATGGGTCAAGCAATACAATTCATAATAAGAAAAGAAAAAAAGAAACAAAGAACAATGAATGTATTTATACAATAGGCGATATAATTATATTGAATGAATTAGAAATCGATATATATATTTTTTTTTTGTAGTAAAATTTAATACATAAAATACCAAAAAAAAAAGGTAGGTATTTTTCCCGTCAATTTGTTAAAATATTTATCAAAGATCAGTATTTATATTCGTATACAAACCTATTTATTTTTCCAGTGTGTATTATACTTACGGTTTTTTTTTTTTTGGTAAAGGATATAATTTCAAAAGTTTTATTACCTGTTAAAAAGAACATTAATATTAAAATTGTAGTCTCGCAAATGATGGATGGATTTGCAAACTGATCACGGACTGTACTGTTTACTATACCGAGTAATTTCAAAAATCGATATTGCACAAAGTATCGGCATCGTAACAATCTCATTTGCTCTGGGCTCAATATTTCTTCTTTATATATATATATATATATATATATATATATATATATATATATATATATGTAAAACAAGAATACGATCATGTCATAAACTCAGGGATTCTATTGCTATATCGTTTTTACAGTAATACGGGGAAAAAGAAACTTCAAAGACGCTGACAATTTTAGTGGTTCGCGCTTATCATGGACTTCAATACCACTGGCCCCCCATGTTTATTTTGGGGATTCACGTTAGGGATATTCCCCGCATACGTGTCATATATCTTTCTTTAACATAATATTATAGGCTTAATCAAAATGTTTATTCTAAGCAGAAAAGGTCACTTTTAATAAATTGCTCTATTCTATGTTGCAGTATGCGATTTTTCTTGGAATAAAAAACGACTTTTTTTAAATGACGATGAAATCCTCTTGGTATGTCGTATATGTGTATTAAACAGGGAAATATCTTTTTGTTTCTAAAGGTTTGAAGTAGAGTAAGTTAATCGAAGTTGTAGCTTAATTTAAGCATAATTTTATATAGGATATTCATCAGGATCATCCTCCGATAAAAAGCTCCAGCTTTGAGTTGCCGTGCCTTATTAACAACTCACTCAAACTGAATTGACTGAACTACGAAATCCGATACCTCACCTGAAAACATAGACACATTTATATTTACAAAAAAAGTTTAAATTAATTAGATAAAATATGGTAGAAATACATTAGTCTAATGCTCCGTTTACATCAGTGGGCTCTTGTGACGTCATAAAACCAAAAAATCAAGAACGATAAGCGAGTAAGAAAAGTAACAAGTGGAAAAGTTTTCACCTTCATTTTTCAGTAGAACAAAGGCCAAAAAATAGTACTACTCGTAATTTAACATTCTGAAATCCTAGTGTTAAGAATCGTTTCCTATGACCTTTAATAATATGAAAACTTTACAAACAAGCATTCTGAGAGTATTGCATTAGCAATACTAGTCCCCTACCAGCAAGTGTAATCTGGTTCCCGTTAAGAATTGAAAATGCCATAATTCCGTCAAAAATCAATGAAGCAGAACGACATGCAAACTTGATCTATAACTAATCAAGGTAAAGTCACATACCAAAAATCAGCTCAATATCTGAAAGCATTTAGAAGAAAATTGCAGAAAACCCTTAAAAATTGAAAAGGCCGTAATTCCGTCAAAAATCAATGAAGCGGAACGAAATGCAAACTTGGTCTGCAACTCGTCAAGATACACTCACATACCAAAAATCAGCTCAATACCTGCAAGCGTTTGGAAAAAAGTGCGGAAAACCAAGTGGGACAGACTGACAGACAGACGGACGGATGGACAGACTCAGAGGAAACCTATAGTCCCCTCCGGTTTCACCGTTAGGGGACTAATAATACACAGTAATTGACAGAAAGACAAACATTGGATACTTTCTAGTCTTTGGTTCAGGTGAACTAAAAATTGGCATTTTGATGTGTACAATAAAACAAGAGGTCCATGGGCCACAATGCTCACCTTAGTCAATATAGCCCTGCTGTTCTTCATCAACAGATTTTTTTCCATTATATATTCCTATGTAAAACTATTATCCCTATTGTGACCTCACCGTACCCCCAGGTATCATGATTTTTATAGATGTAGTCCCACCCTACGCCTCAGGGTCATGATTTGAACATACTTGAATCTACACTTCCTCAAGATACTTCTACCTCAATGTAACTAAAAATGGCTTTGTTGGTCTTGAGAAGAAGATTTATAGAATTTTAACCTATACATCCGCATGTTAAACTCTGGTAGTGCATTATGGCCCCACGCTACCCCACGGGGTTATGATTTGAACAAATTTGAATCTACACTACCTGAGGATGTTTCCATTTCAGTATGACTAAACATGGCTTTGCTGTTCTTGTGAAGAAGATTTTTCCCTACATATTCCTATATTAAACTTTGATCCCACATTAGCTCCCCCCCCCCCACACACACACAAACACCCCCTGGGATCATGATTTAAACAAACTTGAATCTACACTATCTAAGCATGCTTTCATATAAATATGACTAATCATGGCTTTGTTGACCATGAGAAGAAGATTTTTGAAGATTTTTACCTACATATTCCTATGTAAAAGTTTGACCCCCCATTGTGTCCCAAGCCTACACCCGGGGGTCATCATTTGAACAAACTTGAATCTACAATATCTGAGGATGTTTCCATATCAAAATGACAAATAAAAGCTTTGCTTTTCTTTAGAAGTAATTTTGTGAAGATTTTTTCCTATATATTCCTATGTAAAACTTTGATCCCCCATTGTGTCCCCAGCCTATCACTATGGGACATCATTTATTTTAGAACAAACTTGAATCTACACTTATGGATGGATCCAAATCAATATGACTAATAATAGCTTTGCTGTTCTTAAGAAGAAATTTTGTGAAGATTTTTCCTCATATATATTTTTTATGTAAAATTTTGATCCCCTATTGTAGCCTCAACCTACCCCTGGGGGTCATGATTTGAACAAACCTGAATCTTCATTATGTCAAGAGGATTTCATATAAGTTTCAACTTTTTTGGCCCAGTGGTTCTTGAGAAGAAGATTTTAAAAAAAAATACCACCAAATTTTCACTAATTCTTAATTATCTCCCCTTGAAAGAGGGTGTGGTCCTTCATTTGAACAAATTTTAATTCCCTTCACCCAAGGATGCTTTGTGGCAAGTTTGGTTGAAATTGAACCAGTGGTTCTGGAGAAAAGTGAAAAGTTTTTAGATGGATGGACAGAGGGACGACAGACAAAATGTGATCAGAAAAGCTCACTTGAGCCTAAAAATCTACATATTTCAAAAGTGTACAATTCAGAAACTTATTAAAAAAAAAAGCAAACTGCCTCCATTCTTCATACTTCTTGTTTATAGAAACTGATAAATTAACATCAACACCAAAATATTCTTCAGACTTAATATGTTAAAGCATGGTACAGATGTAATCTTCAAAGAAAACACAAATAAGTGAAAATATGTTAAACTATTAATTAAGAGGGCTGGGTGGTCGTGGCCATTTTTTGACTATAATGATCTCCTTTAGAAGAAGAGCTCCATATAAAGATATACAAAAATGATCAAATTTTAAAACTAAAATGTATGATTTTTTTCTTTGCCAAATGATAGTTGACAGCTTAAGATATATCTAAAAAAAATAAGTTATATCTGATGGTTAATTTGTTGACCCCCCCAGCCTCCCTAAATCAATAGCAACTTAAAATTATACATTGTGTGAATATATATATATATATATATATATATATATATATATATATATATATATATATATATATATATATATATATATATACGAATCGATCAGCATAGCCAGTTGCTTTTTCATTACATTTACTAAGGGCAATTTTTCAAAGCTAGTTACAGAAAATTTCATCATATTTCCCAACTTACTCATAATGTCTAATAAATACTTCATTTTATTGTCTAAATTACAATAAAATAAGAATCAAAGGGAAGAAAAATCATTCAGAAACACAAATTTACGAAACAATTCAAAAGAGCATTATGATTTTATATGAAAAAAAAATCAATTCTAGTTTATTTTTCTTTTTTTACCATCTGGTCACTACCTTTGTCTAATCCTTGTGATGTCAGTTCATTTTGTGTGGACCTGTCTCTTGCACTACGTTGACTACTGGCACTTCTTTTCTCAGGTTGCTGCTGTTGTTGACCTTTCTGGCTCATAATGATTTTAAACTGAAGATCTATAATGTTACATTTATATATCAATTAAAACTAAGATGTGGCTCTGTTTCACAATAAAAAGTATGAAAAATTTGGGCTGGATATTGGCTGGGAATTTCGTATTGTGATAAATTACATGTACTGCAATATTTTAAAGTGTATTGCAACCTGTACGAAATGTTCCACCCCGAATATAGGAGGAATAGAGGCGTACCTGGAAAAGGATTTCGGGCATCAGTTTGTCTCACTACAGATATGGTATTATGCATGTTCTGGGCTTAAACCAAGAGGAAACCAAGCAGAATTGAGCAGGAATTTGAGGCAAAAAATGCAAATGAGTTACACCCGGAAAAATAAATGATGCCTGGAAAAAAATTATGCCTGGGAACTAATATGACACCTGAAGCAGAATTATGCCTGAAAAGTCCTTATTATAATATAATACTATGTGACCTAAAAACCTATATAGCCAAGAAAAGCAAAAAAACATACTATGTACAATTACAACTTTTACTAATTATATTATCATTCTTATGTCAATCTTTTATATTGCTTTCCAGGTAAAAATCTGACTTTGAGCATGCTTTGTTCATTTAAACCAAACATTTATTTTTATTTTGTTTCTATATATATAACATTCTTTCCTGTACTCTCAGTCAATCAAATAACCTGTTAATTAAATTATATACAAGGATTTCTTGATTAACAAAATCTAGCAAAGGGGAGTAACTCTCATTGCTTCATTAATTAATTGTGTACTCTGCTTCCTAGATACACAGGAGCAAAGAAAAAACACATTTACTTATAATTATATTTAATACATTTACATTGCTATTATTGCATTTAGTTTGTTTGCTTTGTACTCCAGGGCAGAGGAGAAGATATTCAAAGCATTAATACATTTTCGCTAATTAATCAATAGAGCCCCACCCAAGCACAAGAACCCCAACCCAGGGGCCATGAAATTCACAATTTTGGAAGAGGCACTCTTGCTCATCGTAACTATTTACTTAGTTCATAGGCTAAATACCCAGGAGCAGAGGAGGAGGTTTTCAAAGAATTAATGCATTTTCACTATATAATCAATAGAACCCCAGGCTAACACTAGAACCCCTGACCCTGGGGCCATGAAATTCACAATTTTGGAAGAGGCACTCTTGCTCATCATAACTAGGTACTTAGTTCATCGGCTAAATACCCAGGAGCAGAGGAGAAGATTTTCAAAGAATTAATGCATTTTCACTAATTAATCAATAGAGTCCCACCCAAGCACAAGAACCCCAACCCAGGGGCCATGAAATTCACAATTTTGGAAGAGGCACTCTTGCTCATCATAACTATGTACTTAGTTCATAGGCTAAATACCCAGGAGCGGCGGAGAAGGTTTTCAAAGAATTAATGTATTTTCACTATATAATCAATAGAACCCCAGGCTAACACTAGAACCCCTGACCCTGGGGCCATGAAATTCAAAATTTTGATAGAGGCCTTAATTCTTATTACAATCATGCCAACAGTTTGACTGCTTGATGTCACGGAGTAAAGAAGAAGATTTTTAAAGATTGCATTAACTTTTATGGTTTTAGCCCCAGCCCTCAGGCCCCAGGGGGGCACCGATAGATGCTATATGCCAAAATTAGTTGAAATTGGTTTAGTGGTTCCAGAGAAGCAGCTAAAAATGTTCAAAAGTTTACGAGGACGAATTTCGTACCACGAACGACAAATGAAGACGGACAAAAACAAATAGCAACGGTTCACCTGGGTGACTCAGGTGATGTAAAAACTACTTAAAGTCAAGAGAATGTTAGCGTTCAACATCTTGATGTTTTATTGAAAACTGAGTTTGTATTACGTTTACGAGTATGCCACGAAACATTCTGAATGCGAGCGTTCAATATCAAATGCCCTGTTGTACCAAAAAATGGTGTCTAATCAACTTCTCTACAGAAAATTTATGATAGATTGTGGCAGCAAGGTAAGATGTGTCTACTTTCACTCAAAATTGAAATTATTAATTAAGTATCTATTAGCCTCAATAATACCTCAATAAGCAGATCATAACCTTTGGTAAGGTCATTGGAATGATGCGATATTGAACACTTACAGGACTGATGTAAATTTAAATACAGATACTGAAAAATTCTTATTAACCGAGTTATTTAATTGAAATAATTAATATAAATTAATAGGAGATGTTTTTAGCTATAAACCAGTAATAAAGGAGTTATTGAATTTATATTATTAGTGAATATTGGCACTTGTTGGATGTACAAATCTACTTGAAAGCTCATGCATTTGTACAGCCAACTCATGCCAATATTCAAGTTATATATAAGTTCAATAACCCTATATTATTAGATAATAAATTGTCTTCAATTAAAAAAATACTACTAGAGAATTTTAGCAATATCTTGGCATTTTATTGAACTCTGAGTTAGCAATCACAGTCTTCATGAAAACCTTTTAAATTTACTGGCCAGTAGGACCAGTGAACTTTCTATAATTATTGGCTCACCAAAAATTTTACTGGCCCCATATTCATTTAAAAAAATGAATACATAATTATAAATTAATACATGCTTGCATGAATATGTTAGAAAAGCTGCCATCTTTCGCCCATTATCTTGTTTCAATAAGTTGTTCGTAGGATATTCGCACATATTACATACCCAGTACTAGTTGATAGTTACCAGTTAGTTCCCTTTTGATCGGTTGTTATGTCCAGGTTAATATATATTATACAATTATGGACTCTTTCAGTGGTGAATATGGTTTGTTATTCACCAGAAAAATATCAATATTGACCTCAGCTTCGCCTCGGTCAATATTGATATTTTTCTGGTGAATAACAAACCATATTCACCACCGAAAGAGTCCATAATTGTTTTATTATATAGTCTGGATTTGAATAAATAAGACTTTGAAAGCTTCATGATGATACCACTTTCATTTACGAACTTCTGTCGTGGAAAAATAAAAATTATTTTTAAAATGTCCAGATTATAAGTTATAACTTCCGTGTTTTCCATTTGCTGTTTATAAGACATCGAAACGTTTAGGAAATAATCCTGCGATGGGCTTGGCTAATGTTTTTCCTGCTTAGATACACAGTTGGCTCCGGCCGTTGCAACCATTGTTTACAACGTAGTTTAAAGTGTTGATTGTGACGTCACAATGCCGCTGCACGCGCATCAACCCTCCGGTGAATACAGCTTCAAGACCAATGAATATGTAGTGATATGAACTGTTTGCGTTTGTATAGATTATATAGGGACTATAAATAGACTATATAATAAACTGTAATATGTCCCTGTTACGTATAATAATACGATGTATACACCAACAAAAGAATGCAATCAATGGGAAAATGTTTCAGCTATATGAAAGGAAGTAGAGAACTTATATAGGTGAATATTAATTTGCACTCATCTGTACAACCAACTTGTGCCGATATTCACCAATATGGTTAATAACCCTTTAATCTTTAATAAGTATAATACCCTTAATTTGTATTAAGAGTACAATTTATATGCACTGCAACATTTCCCCCATTTTCCTGCTTGTATATGCATTGATCATTAAAGACTGACAGACATTGACAGATTTGAGGAAATTGCATTTTGAAAAAAAAATCAGATTTTATCAGTCTCCCAAAAATCATTACACAGTGAATAGTAATACTTGAATTATGACTCCAGAAATATTTGTTTAAGGATGAGACATTTAGTTGAAATATTCATACTTCATAAATCAATGAAAGTGACAGCCTTCTAAAGTAATATCTAGCTGTTACCTTTGTTGTCCTTTTTGAGTGCTTCGATTTCTGCATGGAGGGACTGTAACACCTCCTGATGCTGTTGTTTTAAAAACATCATGTTCCTCTCCATGTGTTGGATCCTCTGTTTTGGATCCATTTCTAGAAGATCTACTTCTTTATTATCATCTCCTTCCTCTTTCTTTGACATATCGGGATAAATATGGACTTTGTCTCTAACAAATGGCTTGGGGTAGCGTCCCCTGTCTAGAGTGTTGATGCGTGACCACTGAGGTAAAGTGCTAAGGGGAGGCAAATGGTTCATGGAAGTGAGATCAGATATCTTTTCCTGGACAACTCCCTGCTTTATCATGCTGCATTCATTTTCAATTCAACCTGATCCATCAAACCACTCTGGCTTTTACAGTTTAACTCTCCAAAAGCACACTCATGAGACTAGAATTAGAAAGAGCAAATATTTCAAAATAATACTTTTTAGGTAGATGGAAGGCAATCTATGATAATGGTAGATATATTAGAACTGCATTTTATCTCAGGTAATGATCTCTACTTCAATGAGTTAATTGACAATTAATTTACAATTTCTCAGATTGTGGCTTTTTACATTAATTAAACTGCTTGTACAGGATGTTTCGTCCCTGCAAACACAGTGCTCCATGTTCACACTTACTTTCAGGTCAGCTTAATGGTTGCCAACAACAAATATTTCACTCACCATGATGAAAATATTTTGTGAATAACACTAGTAAAACAAGGAACAAACACCCTATATTTTTTATGTCTTTATTAAATCAAAGATTACTTATTACTCTCACTATAAACAATTTGCTAGGTTGAAGGAAATATTTTTATTCAATACAACACCCTTATGGTTGTACAGTACACAGATTAGAACACAAGAAGTCTGATCCTAGAATTAAAATTTATTCAAAAAAAATACAAGTTTGACACCTGCATGTTGAGGCGGGAGTTTGCCAGCTGTTTGTCATGTTTACTTATTACTAACGTAGCTAACCCAATAAACTGAGTCATTATTAATGCCGCAAAAGCACTTGTAATTAGTTGTGATATGCAAGCATTATTGACCAAATGTTTCCATAACATTAGGTTGGGTTCTAGAAAGTTTACAATGTTTGATCAGCTTAATGGTCACCAACAACAAATATTTCACTCACCATGATGAAAATATTTTGTGAATAACACTAGTAAAACAAGGAACAAACACCCTATATTTTTTATGTCTTTATTAAATCAAAGATTACTTATTACTCTCACTATAAACAATTTGCTAGGTTGAAGGAAATATTTTTATTCAATACAACACCCTTATGGTTGTACAGTACACAGATTAGAACACAAGAAGTCTGATCCTAGAATTAAAATTTATTCAAAAAAAATACAAGTTTGACACCTGCATGTTGAGGCGGGAGTTTGCCACCTGTTCGTCATGTTTACTTATTACTACGTAGCTAACCCAATAAACTGAGTCATTATTAATGCCGCAAAAGCACTTGTAATTAGTTGTGATATGCAAGCATTATTGACCAAATGTTTCCATAACATTAGGTCGGGTTCTAGAAAGTTTACAATCTTTGAATGCTGTTCTATCAGGGATGTATAATATATGTCCCTAGTTCCATCAAAATTTGTATAAGTACTGAAGTAGTCACTATAACATCATGCTGTCATAACATTATGTGATGTATAAGTCCTTGCAACACTTTTTAAAGTTATATAATTACAGTGTATTTGAAACTTTGAAACTTTTATTTTCCACTAAAGCCCCCACATGGGGTATGTTAGTACAATAAGAGTTTAACAATTGAACAAATCAACATGAGAACAGTTAACATAATAAACTACAAAAAGATCTTTGATATGGACAGTACTGATGGTTGTTAAAAAAAAAAAAGTTTAATGTTTACATTGTAGGAAGTTCAGGCATGAAATAATTTAAGAACTGAGTTTTACAAAACTTAGCTAAACCTATTAGTTCATATATATCAGAAGTATTCATCAAATCATAAAAAGATATTGTGTTTGGATTTGTGTAAATATTACTAGGTATAAATTTCTGTCTTTCAGTTAAAAGAAGGACACTTAAATAAGTAATGAAACTCATATCGATCATCAAGTTCATTGTTATTGCAGACGTTACAATGTCTCTCAGATCAATGCTATAAAATCTACCAGCTTCAATTGGCAAGTTATGACTGACACAACGAAATTTACATAAATATAATCTAAGATCATTAGGTAACATGTTTAGATAATTTTCAAAACCAATGTATATCTTCAAACATTTTCTGGATAGAGAATCTTGATAAAGGTAAATCTTGATCCCGATCTTAAAAATGGACGTTGCCAGCCCAGATTTATTCAGTCACGAAAATGCGAGTAAGTTTTAATTTCTAGTTGCAAAATAAATTTTTTGGTTGCAAATGTGACAATTTTAGTCGAAACTTGGAGTACTGAACTATTTAAAATTCTTTTGAAACTTTTTTAAAGTATCCTTTAAAATGTCACACCAAAATCTTCAAGATTTTATATACATATATGTATTAATTATTCTGTTTTCATGATGGAATATTCATCCTCTATGAAAAAAATCAAAAGATCAGTGTAAAGTATATGTGAGCCTCATCCATAATTTTTATCATCCAAATACCGTATATCAGGTTTTTTCCACTAAATGTATTCAATTTCTGGTTTGGTAATGACCAATTCAATTTGTTACAAAGTTTTGTTTTTGTAATATAGTTTTCTCTCTTTGCTTAGATGCATGTATATCATATACATGTTAATTAAAGTTTGGTGAACTGTGTTCAGTTAGTTGTATATATATTAGGGATGTCAACGAGTACCCGGTTAACCGGGTACTCGATCGAACGTCCGAGTATCGAATACTAAAAGTGGTAATCGGTTACTCGGATGTGCATTTTTTCTTATTTCAAAGTACATATTTTTATCAAAAACTTATCCAATAAATAACTTTAATATGCATACAGCAATTAGCGTGTCATCATTTACACCTGTAAAACACCCGTTATCGTCTGTGGCAGTGTGTATACAGTAATTAGTGACCAATCACCTGGTACACAGCTGTTCTTACCTATTGTGGTCCTTAATTTTTGGATGGCTTCAATGATTGTTTTCAATGAACATCGTTTGAATATGGTCTATTATCTTCAAATCATTTTAAAATTATTAAGTTAATATACGGCAGCGAAATCGGCCATGCTGGTACATACTTCAAAAGTTGAGAAATATTTAGAAATAATTAAAGATTCAAAAAATATTGAATAGTCAGTTTGCGTAATAAGTTTAGTGTATACGGGGGAAACAACCAACATATGAAATAATATTAGATTAGCGATCCCAAAAACGTCCGTTCCTTCTCTTTCGCTAGTCTAATCTTCACAAACCTGCGTAACAGATTGTCCTCCTTTTGCGTTGATGAAATAGATCCTAAAGAAGATCTGTAAACAATTTTTTTTAATATTTGATGTATTATTTGTGTCTTTTGTGTTAATTTGATAAATAAATGTAGTATCAAAAAATCATCCCCGTTGGACTTGATGTTTATATACATTTATAAACGTGACAAAAACAGCTTTGGAGTTTTAACATAGCTTAACGGGGCTCAAGAAAATTAACACACTTGTATTTATATTTTTACCAAGTACCCGGGTACTCGATCGGAAAAACGTCCGAGTAACCGATTATCAAAAATTGACCGATTTGACATCCCTAATATATATATATTTATTATACCTCTATTAAGAATACTCAAATTTGATTGGCTTGTTAGAAGGCTTTTAAACTCAATAATGACTCCAAAAAGTACCGTTTACAGCAATAATGACCTAGGAATCATTGCAAGCGGGGTATAATGACCCGGTCATTATAAATAATGACTGCTAAAAATGACCTGTTAATCCAAATTCCATTCAAATTAAAAAAAAATTTGCATACAGTAATGATTGTTCATTACAAAAAATGCCGTTATAAAAAAATATATAGTCTTTTTATGATACAGAATACGATTATCCTTCAGATGCGTCAAAAAATTTATCATTTTCATTGAAACTTTCGTTACAATGTCAAATTGAACGAATGCAGACTTGGCTCTTTTGTACAGTAAAAGTCTGCACCAGATTGTCATTGTACTCGGAAATGGTATCTGTGAATTTATAAACATAGGTAATCAAAGATTACAGAGCTCACCTCAACGAATGTGGTCTTCAAGTAAGGCAAAGTCCCACACTAAACTAATAATCTAGGAGTGTGCATCCCTAGATGCAACATTTATGCAATTTTGGTCTGAGAGGGCTTGCAGTTACTTGGGAATAGACTTATCTGAAAACTTAAAACTAGTCACTCATCCAGAAAATGCAAGTCAAATCCAGCTTTCGAAGCAAGTTTTGAGATTGTTCGTCCCTTGATGCATCATCCATGCAAGTTTGGTTCAGATAGGCCTTATAGTCACTTGGAAATGAGATCTGCTCCAAAAACTTTAATCTAGTTACTCATCCGGAAAATGTAGGTCAGATCCAGAATCCAAAGCAAGTTCAGTGGTGTGAATCCTTACTAACAGATGTATCATCCATGCAAGTTTGGTCAATATAGGGTTTATAGTTACTTGGAAATGACATCTGCTCCAAAAACTTTAATCTGGTTACTCATCCATAAAATATAGGTCAGATTCAGCATCCAAAGCAAGTCCAGTAGTGTGCATCCTTGGATGTATCATCCATGCAAGTTTAGTCAATATAGGGCTTATAGTTACTTGGAAATGAGATCTGCTCCAAAAACTTCAACATGGTAGACTCAGCATCCAAAGCAAGTCCATAGCATGTATCCTTAAATGTATCATCCATGCAAGTTTGGTCAATAAAGGGCTTTTAGTTACTTGGAAATGAGATCTGCTCTAAAAACTTTAACCTGGTCACTCATCCGGAAAATATAGGTCAGATCCAGCATCCAAAGCAAGTTCAGTAGTGTGCATCCTTAGATGTATCATCCCTGCAAGTTTGGTCAATATAGGGCTTATAGTTACTTGGAAATGAGACCTGCTCCAAAAACTTTAACCTGCTCTAAAAGCATTAACCTGGTCATTCTTTAGCTGAAATTGCAGCATCTGAAACCTTTACTGGTACAATGAAACACAATGAAGCATCCTCCATGCATCTCTGATTAATATAGGCCATAGAAGTACTTGAAAATAAAAATGCTCCAAAACCTTAACCTGGGACGCCGACGGTATTACATATGCTCCCCCAACTTCGTTGAGGTGAGCTAAAAATGCATATTAACGACAATCAGAGAGTGTTTTAATAAATTGGCGCTGCAAAAACTTACAAGACTTGCAGGCAAAAAGTAAACAACTTCACTTGTGAATCCCGATCCCGATGAAATACTGATAATAACAGTTC